GCATATTTTCTCACCTGTTTCTTCACCAACCAGAGATTTTCTTTTTTTATCTCTCTCATTTTTGAATTCCAGCAAATTTGCATAGGTATGTAATTTCTTGAATGAATAAGAAATGGTGGATGCGCAACTAATTTCTCGCTTTGAATCTCAAGTAAGTGTATTTGCGACAAGAATCCAATAAAATTATCATCAACACATATTATTAGCACACAAATCCTCACTATGCACCTATGTATTGCCGTTTCCTTTTAGCTATAGTATACAACTTACAGCTTAGTCCTCCATAAAATAATTGGCTATACCTATTGATGTTTTTATCACCTGCTGATATAATAGTAGTGCTTAATTATGTCAGTATTTACACCAATTACTTGATTTGTTTAACGGGTAGTTCAGAGTATTAATCCTTAAGCTTAGTACACACAAGTAGACCCCGTTGCGCAATTTGTCTATAGGCAGTCTGGAGACGATCTCAAGACACGATGTATAGATGGTCTACAGATATCCTTCTTTGTCTCGTCTTGCGTCCATATGGTTATGTGAATTTCTCTGTCTCATATTCGTCTTCGCCATCAAAGACATTGTTTTGTGTGGAATGGCTGGGATATATCTCGGGGTCCCTCAAAATGTCTTTTTTGGTTGACAGAGCAATGTAGTTTTTTATGTTTTAACCTTATTACAGTAGTTAATTATAAATGCCACGTAATTCTTTTGTTCTCAGATAATCGAATATTACCTTTCTAAGGATTTCTGTGCACTTTCCATTTTTTTTTTCAAGTTGGCATTGTACAGTTAGAACACAATGAATTTAAGGAGCAATAATAGGATAAATTCTAGAAGTTCCACTGAGGTAGAAAAAATATCTGCCCCAAATCCTGAATTCGCCATTGACGTCTAGGCAACACCTACAACTACAAAACGAGTTCATAAGTGTGCATCAGCTAGAGTGCTAAGTTAACATATTGTAGAAAAACCTATATTATGTCCCAAAAAACCAATACAATGTCAAAAAAAGTCGACATAATGTAACTGTTCAAGATACGTAATACCCGTGCGGATGTAGAATCTCGAGCTTGACACAAATCTATTCTCAAATATTGTGATTGCTGTTTTAGTTTAAAAACTTGACCTCCGAATGCCCTCTGAGGTCATATCTGAGGAAATCAACAAATTGTTTTCTCATAATATTTCTTCAAAAAATGCGTGGTTGTCAAGTGTCTGGTTTAATGGCTGCTCCGATAGAAAAAAACTGGACACAATTTCTTGATACACAGAGGAAGCTAAATACCAACCGTATACAACGTTGATTCTGATGCAGCAATCAGCAGAACGCTATAGGTCTAACCATTGGACACAGGTCGATATCTTCGCGTAACAGTGGGTCTGAACCATGAAGTGCATTGAAACTCGCTCAGATAACTCGATGTTACCTTGCAATCAAATGTTATAGGTACCTTTGTATTGCGTGAAGTTTTGTTGCTCACATTTTATCCATTCTCAATGCAACTGTTCACGAATAAATCATAAATTGATGTGTCACCTGACAACGTCGCGTCTGTCCGATTCGTAGTTTGCGCTAGTCTCTGCTGTAAACTTATGGCAGAGTGAATACATTCGAACAAGCTGTAGCTGAACGGTTCAATCGCGGCTGGCTAGAGGTGAGCTTATGCATTCTGGCAACGCGTAGCTGAGCGAATTTGAGTACACTTCGTGGCGTACATCATCTGTTATGCGGAGGTATCGAGATAACGGAAAGCAAACAAGCGAAAACAAATAATAATAATAATAATAATAATAATAATAATAAAAATAATAATAATAAAAATAATAATAATAAAAATAATAATAATAATAATAATAATAATAACAATTAATAAATCGAATCCACCATCATTCTCACCAAGACGCAACTAACATCAACGAGTGGCAATGCCTTGATACCTTGAAGCAAAAACTGTCCGTATATACTCAGCGATTGAAAAGGTATAAAGCGTCCAGTCACAGAAAGCACGACAATGCGCTCTTTCAACGATCCGAAAAGGCATTCTACAGGAAACTGTCATCCGAATCCCAGGAAAAGAGCAAAACGGTGCCCATAAAGGACCAAGCAGAGGAATTTTGCGGCAAGCAGTTTGGCTCGACAGCTTATTACAACAAGTGTGCAGGATGGATTACAGATGAAGAAGCGAAGAGTCATTATTGAAATCCCATGCAGTATAGGGCATATACCAAACAAGAAATAGTGGAGATCGTTAAGCAGTTGCATAATTGGAAGGCCCCGGACCCAGACCAGATTCATGGCTACTGGATAAAGAAGCTTTGGTGCATGCATGAACAACTAACAAGATATATCAATGACATGCTTTTGAATACAAATAAGACTCCAACGTTCCCAACACAAGGGCTAACGGTATTAATACCAAAAGATCTCAATAATGCAGAAGACCCAACAAAATACCGCCCAATTACCTGCCTTCCTACGCTATACAAGGTGGTCACTGCTTGTATTTCGAAGCGAATTTATGCTTATTGTGAAGAAAACGATATTATTGCGCCACAACAAAAAGGCTGCGCTAAGGGAGCTATGGGATGCAAAGAACAGCTGGCTATCGATTCAGTCATCTGTAACCAAGCCTATTCCAACAAAAGGCACCTATACATTACGTACATCGACTATCAGAAGGCATACGATTCTGTACCTCATGAGTGGCATGTCAGGGTGCTGGGGCTCTATAAGATAGATGAGCATGTAGTGGCCCTATTAGAACATATGCTGAAGACCTGGAGAATCAGAATAACACTGCATACAAACGGGATCAGCACCATTCAAACTGAGACGATCTCTGTCCGAAGAGGTCTCTTTCAGGGTGATTCACTAAGTCCCCTATGGTTTTGCCTAGCTATAAATCCCCTCTCAAACCTCTTAAATGCAACAGGGTATGGATATAATCTGAAAGACAACAGGAACGCATCCATAGAACTGAACCACTTGTTGTATATGGACGACCAAAAGGTAATAGCTGCTACTGAGAATCAAATGAAACAGATGCTAGAGATAGTCGGTCAGTTCTCAGATGACATAAGTATGCGATTTGGGATGGATAAATGCAAAACCTTATCTATACTTAGGGGGAACATCTACCCTGGAGGATTTTCAAGCTGCAGAGGCCAAAACATTGACGCAATGGACGCAAATGTTACATACAAGTACCTTGGAATGGCGCAGGCCCGAAGGATCGACCACAAAAAAATGAAGGAAGCTATATCGCCGACCTTCACAAAAAGAATACGGCTACTTCTGAAAACAGAACTCAATAGTAAGAATCTAGTCAGGGCGATTAACACCTACGCATGCTCTGCCTTGAACTACTCGTTCGGTATAGTTCTGTGGAGCAAAACTGACATCGAGAAACTAGAGAGGCGGGTAAGGACTATGCTAAAAAAAAGGGGCGCAACATCCTTAATTGTCTTCTTAAACGGAAGTTCCCTCAGCCTCAGAAGCTCCTGAGGGATGTTGTTATATTCCTTTCATATATATATATAGTGGTTAATCTACTGAAAGACTCCGTTCCAGCTTTGACGTATGGTGCTAGATGAGTACTTAGTACCACCCTCATTGATGAGACACCTATCCGCTGCTGACACTCATCCGGTACATTGAACCGTACTGTCAATTACAGATGCAAAGAAACTATGTACTATGTAGGGGTCAATAGTACCGCGCCTGGCTAATAGGAGGCACTTCATACATAGATAAATGTTAATAAAAAGAACGTAATATTTTCATCTGCACTAGCGCCGTCGTATATGCGACATGAGCTTATTATAACCGTTATAATATATGGGGGTGCAAAATTAAGGCGTCCAATTTATCGCGTCTGACACACCATCCAAGCGCGCCAATTCGCCTAGCAAGGTAATTGCTTCATTTTGACGTCTATTGCACTCGGGGTGTTCCATAGACATAACATGTCCGAGTCAAGTTTCACGGATAACATAAGCTCCATAGTATGAGAGATAGAGAGAGAGAGATAGAAGGGGGGGGGAGAAGGCAACCATAATGAACAATGTAATTCAAAATCACGTATACACCTAACAGCACCCTATGAATGCGTTTCTAGTTTACTTCAGGATCAGCGGAGATGAGCAATAATGAGGAATTGGAAAGCCTTCATTATCCAGTCAGTAAGATTTTTAGGCAGCTTGGCACCTTTGAATCTTGAAAATGTTCTGACGTTTAGACCTTTTCGATGGCCTTTTTTAAAAATATATATAAACTGGCAATGGCAATTCCATTAAATAAATTAATGAAAGTCATAGTCGACGAGTAGAACAATGAGAAAATATATTACTTTTTTCAATTCCAACCCGAGAAATCAATATTGTTCACCGCAATGCCATATTGTGAAATAGCATTCCTCTCCCCATGTAAATAACGAAAGCAAGAAATACATCAAGATTTTATTCTAAAAAGAGTTATGTAATATACTATTGTTTTCATTTAGAGAGAAAACAATATCTTGCATGCCCTCACTCTTAAGTTTTGCCTCAAGACTATTTATTTGCAGCTTAACCCTTTCACTCCTAGGGACACATATGTCCCAGCAGCTTTTGATAAATTCCTGAAATGACCTCCTCGTATTTGAAATACCTCGCACTGGGACATATCAGTATTTTATGGTTGTGGGAGAATAATTTGCGATGTGGCAACGTGGAGCAACAAAATGCAAGCAGTTGAACACGTGTTGTGATTGTGTATACATCTAGACAGTGCATGTTTTAGTGTTTTACTTGCATTTATAGTGATCTGTTTCAAATATTTATTGCTGTTTTGTAGAAAGTCGGCAACTGAAAGCACGGAAGTAAGTATTTATATATAAATATAACACAATAAATTAATTTTTTTGAGTTTTCCTTCCCATTATTTATCGCTGGGTCATATATGTCCCAACAGGTATTCATACCGGGCCAGATGATCTCAACTTTTTCTTTTGTTACAGCAGTAGTGTCAGAAAAGATGCCCTCACAGAGGCCGAATTGGAGTACTATGCTGAACACCTGAGTGAAATCGGGAGTGTGGGAGAAGCAGATGAGTCCGAGCCATATAGTAGTGACGACAGCGTGAAAGATCAAAATTTCATTACATCATGTGCATCTGGGTCAGATGATGAAAACAATTATATGCAGAGTGTTGAGGAAGAAAACCTACCATACAGTGGAACTGCTTTCTGAAGGTCTTTCAAAGAAGTCTATTTCTTTATATTGCCCATTGCACAAATCAAAAGCTAGAAATTCACGAAAAAACTATAAAGAAAAAAATTTAAAAAACCAATGTCAAAAAAATGATGCTAGTAACTGGTGTGTGTTTGATTATGCATTATAATAGAGTACCAACATTTGCAATGTATTGGTTAAATAATCCATCTCTTGGTAACGAAGCAATAAAACACGCTATATCTACGGTCAGCTACTTTTATCAAAGTTGTATTTCAACGAACCTGAAAAGCCCGGCAATCCATCAAAAACCTATTACATGGACGAAGTACTATCATGCTTCAAAAAAACCTTTCCCCATGCAAGAAGTGACTCTACGTTTCAATGTATCGACGAATCAATGGCAAAATTTAAGGGTAGGTCGACCCTGAAATAATATATGCCACTAAAGCCAGTAAAACGTGGAATTAAAATATGGACAAGATGTGATTCATTGACAGGGTACGTTTATGACCTCAATATTTATAAAGGCAAGGAAATGGAGGTTACTGAAGGAACCCTCTGTGAATGTGTAGTGAAAAAGCTGACCTCTTCAATTCGTCAAACAAAAAATGTAGTTTTGTGTTTTGACAGATTTTTCACATCAGTAAAGTTGATGAATGCCATTGAATTTGCTGCAGCGGGGACCTTTATGAGGAATCGTAAGGATGTGCCGAAGTTTAAAGGAAAACTAGCAAGAGGGGAATCCCAAATTGGATATAGTAATCAGAGAACTTTAGCTATTAGATGGCAAGATACTAATGACTTTGTTTTACTTTCAAATTGTCATAAAGCTACAATAACTAAAGTTAAAAGAAAAATGAAAGACGGATCAAGTTCAGAAGTTCCGTGCCCTGAGGCTATAGAGTTGTACAATAAGTATATGGGCGGCGTGGACCAAGCCGATCAAATTTGTTTCTCTATATGATATCAACAGAAAATCTGCGAAGCGGTGGCGAAAAGTCTACTATAAATCTCTTATGATGGCGGTTCATAATTCTTTTATACTATTCAGAGAAACACATCAAAAAAATACTACATTCAATATGTCGTAAAACTAGCGGAGTTACTGATAGCCCATGGTAGAACAGGTGTGAAACGTAAAATCACCAGAAAAGTTGGCCGACACTCACAACCATGCACGGATCCAAGTAATGTTAGTGATCATTTACCTGAGACAGGGCCTACAAGAAGAAGGTGCTATCGCTGCTCTCAAAGAAAAATTGAAAAGAGAACCAAACTCTTGTGCAGGATGTGTGATTTGCCATTATGCGTAGATTGTTTTACGCCATCCATACCTGAATTACGTATATGTCCCGCCAAAAAAACCTGGTGGTACATCAGTGTCCCATTATTTTTATAAAAACCTGTTTGAAATAAAAATTTATTCCACCAAATAACCTCTTTTTAGTTTATTTTTACATAGCTATACAACATTTCAAAACAGTTATGTTAAAAAAACATCCGGATTGAAAGGGTTAAGAGGCATCATGACTGAAAACTCAACAAAGAGATTATTTGTTAATTAAGGAAGGTACAGTGCCTCAAACCCACATTTATAGGAAATGTGTTTTATTGTCATATATTGGTTTCAACCAGTGATAGGGGCATTGTACACATCATGCATAATACACCATTATATATGCGTATGCAATGGTGAATATATACGCCTCGTTATTCACGTATACAATGTATGCAATGCATACAATATCAAATCATAGTTCAACTACTTGCCTACAGTGCTGGCGAAAGTCTCTTTCCTTTTTAGATTTCCGAGTTTACGAGGAAGGGAGAGAGGGGAAAAGCGGGCACCACTTGTGTAGAAAGAGTGCATGCACCACATACCACGTTGTCTGGCACAACAGTGGTGAAGGCCACAGAACACAACTGTAATTTGCTGCAACGCCTTGTTTACTATGCCCAAATACACATTTCTGTCGAATCTGTTTAGGATCAATTCCAGATCGATCCTAATGGTTCTCCGATTTTAGGTGGAACTGAAAGTTCATTATCGCTTCAAATTCTGCAAGATTGCATTATTGGTTTGACTATGAAAGCAGTTTATAAAGAATGAGAAAGGGTATAGATATATAATATTTATTTATATACGTATACAAAGATACACTTTCAAATAGATCAGGAACATTTCTTAAGAAAAATAAAACAAAACACTTGTGTGATTTCAATCGAGATACTACATTCTACGAAATATATCTTGCCCTTTTTAGATAATATGAACCCCAGTTAATCGATTTCTTTGTTCTTGGGGCGTTCAACCATATTTTTTCAAAGTTGCTGATTCACTGTTCACCAACTTTCTGACGTTTGCGAATGAATCTAACCTCACTTATACGATTGTATACTTCGTCTTCATCATTCTATACTTCTATTCATTGTATACACAATGTATACATTATATACATCGCGACGTAGACAATTAATGTATACGCGTAAATGCCATCACTGGTTTCAACTTATCTAGCATCTGTACTAATGAAACCTTCGCTTCTTCTGATTTACTTTAAATTCATTATAACGCATTAGTATGAAAATATTCACAACTGTTTCGAAAAGGCAGACTATAGCCCTTGTGTCAGAAATGTGTTTCAGGTTCTGTGCAAGTGGCATCTTTTTCATGTCTGCATGTCTCAGTTGCTTTCATGATGAGCGTGAAACGTAAACACCTTCAGTTGTGACATACGAGCTGCAAGAGCAAATGCTTGCTTAATAAGCCAATTAAGCATAGCAGAAGCGAAAAACTTTGGTAATCAGGATTTTGCGATGTACCTAGTATTCATTTTCTCATCATTTTTGAAGCTCTACGCGCACTAGATTTCCGAGAGCCACACCCTCCTCACCGATAGTTTTGGCTTCATTGGAATACGTGTCTTACCACTGTTTACTCTCCTATTTATAGTCTTCATGGTTCAAGCTCTATAAATTCACTCCAACTGTCTAATCCACTCTGCAACAAGCAGTGCAGATAATTACAATACTGGTTGTTGGTATTAGTGTACTCCGTTCTGCTGTAAAATCCCTGTACGTTATAAGAGAGAGAAAGCAAACACTATATTGCTTAGCGGCACTTTGCACAAAAAACAAAACTGTTCAAAACGTGTCATCTAAATTATATGTTCACCGAAGAAAAGTTTTTCTGATGTCAATATCAGCCTACTGTTCATCTAAAATCCAAGAATAAAACATGCACACGGCACTCAATCGTCAAGGATCGTTTATGAATGACGTTGTTAGTCAGATTAGCTTTCTTCAGAATCACGTCTCAGTTCAGATGAAATATTCCATTTTGAACCATGTATATACTAGGCTTGTTTAATTGAAACCAATCACTTAACTGACGCGTCACAATGTTAGTTGTGTTTGTAGTACTGATCAGTTCCTGTCATTTGTATTTGACTGCAATTTTAAGTATGGCGACCTAATAGAACACTCATAAGCACAGGATTTGTGAAACGACAGTTTTTGGATGTATCTTTTTGAGACCCTTAAATCAAATCTAAAAACATAATTTTCGGTAACATGTACTTTTATGAATTAGAATACGTAACATCTCATATTGCTGCATTTCTCGGCGTTTATGCGATGACGCACATATATAATGTTAAGACCTGTCTAATCCTGTTTATTATGAGCGAGCTCTATGTTTAGAGAGCATATTGCGTTTATTAGTAGACTAATAGCAGCCGAGTCAGTTACGTTTTCTGTGTTAAAGAGTACTGAGATGTTCTGAGTACTGTTAATTTTTGTTAAAAAGTTGTGTTGTTATTTGTTTATTGTGATCAAAACTAGCTTTATGGACAATGCCTAGAAATTGTGTAAATAGTACGAACAGTTTTTATTATGTATGCGCAGAGCTAGTTTTTTAATCCCAAAAACGTACTTTGACTCTCCTTGTGTTGAAAGCATACAAACTTTATTTTGGAATTAAAGGTGGCGAACAAGATAAACTATGGGCCCCTCATATATGTTGTAAGACTTGTGTAACAGACGACAATCGTAAAATGCCCTTTGCGGTACCAACGGTTTGGAGAGACCGTAAAAACCACACTACTGATTGCTATTTTTGGCTCACAATTATTAAAGGTATTGGACCAAAATCGAAACATGCTGTTAACTATTTTAATTTACCCTGAGCTTTGCGGCCCGTTAAGCATAGTGATAAACTTTCTGACCCAGTTCCACCAGAATCTTTGGATGAAAAAGTCGAATCCACCGATTCTGAAAGTGATGGTACAGAAAGCGTAAAAATTTCCGATCCTTCGTTTCACCTGCCAGGATGTTCAATAGCGCCGCATTTGATCGCACTTCAAAATCCCAGTCAGAACTTTTAGTGTCAAGATTAAAAGGATGGAATCTTCCCCCCGGTGATGTTAACATTACTTTTTACCGAAAACGGCATCAAGACCTCACACACTGTTTCGGTCAAGAAAGGGAGTTGATATATTGCTCGGATTTGTTTGACGGGTTAGGACAGAAGCATGATCCAAATTATTGGCGCCTATTCCCTAGTTCATCTAAGCTTAGTTTAAAAGCTGTATTGGTACACAACGATAATAAATATCCATCTGTACCTATAGCACACGCAGTTCATATGAAGGTTAGAGCATATCCGTTATAATGAATATGGATGGGCCATATTTGCAGATTTAAAGGTAATACGCCTTCTTCTTGGAATGCAACTGGGATATACCAAATATTGTTGTTTTCTTTGTGAATGGGGCAGTCGTGTGCGAGATCGTCATTATGAACAGAAGGAGTAGCCCCTACTTCAGGTATTATCTCCGGGCCTCAAAAACATCGCTCATGAATGAACAACTAGTTGATCCCAAAAACGTGTTGCTTCCACCTTTGCATATTAAGTTGGGACTGATGAAAAATTTTGTGGAAGCTAAGAATCCAAATGGAAGAGGGTTTCTGCATTTAAAACAAACATTTCTGAGACTTAAGTGAGGCAAAAATTAAAGAGGGCATATCTGTGTTAAATGAAACTGAGTTACGAGCTTGGAATGCTTTTAAATCAGTTATTGCAAATTTTTTAGGCAATGTGAAGGCGGACAATTATAAAGATATTGTGAGTAAACTAATTAATGCTTATAAAGGAATGGGATGTAACATGTCTCTAAAAAATCACTTTTTAGATTCAATCCTTGTATATTTGATGTACCACTGGACCCCCATTATTTATTAACAAATGGAAATCCAGCGGCTGTAAAGTCTCGCCCGTTAGCGCATAACGAACGTTCATCGGCAGATTGACTATCAACGATTGTCACTTCGGATCAGCTCACATTGCAAATTGGCAAAACAGTTCCTCACCTCCCTCTTGGGAGTCAATGGATGAACGACCACGCCTCAATATCCTTAATAATGCTGATAGATCAAAACACTAGGTGATCGATACGGCTTGCTATATTCTGCACTCCATATTCTGCTGGCTTATTTTGTTAGTCTAGCTCGAGCAGTTTAATCAGGAATGAGATGTGGACTGTGATACAATGTACAGGGTGAACACAAGCTTTATTAAAGCAAGTGTGATATAATCACATTGTATCGTATATTCCAGAATGGAGGGTAATATGGAAAGATAAAAGAAAATGAGGGTAGTTAGATTAGAAGTCATGCCGACGGATATAAACAGATCACAACGCGTGATAGAGTCGGGAAAAAATAGGTTTTGTTTCTATCTACGTCTGACAGTTATAACCATCACTCGTCAGGTTCCCAAATGTCAACTATAGACCTCCATAGCTCGTATTAGAATAGAAAAAGACTGGTAGCAGTTTGCTGACATGGTTATCACTAGATTTGGACATTCACGGTTATAAAGTGGTAGTCACCCATTCTCTCTTTCTCTCTCCCTCTCTCTCTCTCTATATATATATAGAATGTATAAAATATACTCGTAATGTCTGTAGACTATATTTCTGAGGAGATGTGACATACAGAAAACCGAGGGAATTATCATGAAGACCAACAAATCACTTTCGATTTGCAGCGTCCAAAGCAATTATTTGAAACTATTTCTGCAACAATACTTGATCCAAATGTATAATTTTTCCAAATAAACTGGTTTTATCATTATTCAGGACTTCATCGCAACATTATGTGTACATTAGCGGGAAATTTTAAACATGCAGCTCGGTTATTTTATACGATACGATATCAGTATACTTACTAGTGGTAAAATTTACGTAAAAAATATTGCTGGCTCATACTGACTCTAATGTCAGTGAAGACAATGACGTGAAGGAACCGGAATTCTATTAGAGATCAGATCGGTCATTCTCTACTTCCAACTCTACTTTCTTTGTCACTCATTTTTAGGACGAAAGCAGGAAAATAAACTTCTCTATAGTAGAATTTCACAAAAAATGATGAGGCTGATGCACCATCTAATAGAAAAAGTCACAGCTAGACTATGAAGATTATTTAATGTTTGAAGCCACAAGTATTACGAATTCAATTAACAGCATTTTATGTACCATCTTGGCTACGAAGATTGGTTATCAACCGTGCTGTCTTGATATCTGAAGCTGAACCATTTTCTATGTCTTAACCAGGACATCCTTTTTCTGCCAATACTTCACTTACTTTGCATTTTACCTTAGATGATTAGTTGTAACAATATGTATGTGTGCTAAATATCGATTTTTGTCTGTTTTGATGATAACCATTATTCGCTTCCACTTACTCAGACTTTCGCTTCCCCTTACTCAGACTTTCGAGAACTATTGAATTTCTAACTCTATCGACTCATGAGAACTCCAGAGATCTACAGTATTTTTTAATTAATTCAACATTACAAAATTTCAAAGACCTCGAGCTTTTCCGTACAAAACGCATTTAGAGTCGACGCGTCTACTGCTTACAGAAGTATAGAGAAAACAGCATCAGAGCATCTCGTATCTCAGATTCATACTACGAATTCGGCTTTACAACCTATGCCTCATATCCTTAAATGCACTCCGGGCATTTTCTATTCTGATCCTTATTTCCTTTGTTCCATCGTTTGATTCGTTGACTTTTGTTCTCAGGTAGCTATAAGTACTCACTCTTCAAATAGTTGGTTTCTCACACACAGGTTGACATTTTGACTATCATGAATTTTGTTTATTTATTTTCAGTAACAAACCGACATGTTCACTTGCTATCAGTATCTTTAAGATTCTCTAAATATCGTTCAAATATTGCATAAAAGGTGCCCAAAACCTTTATATAAGCAACAATAGCTACAAATGATGCTGGATAATTGACGGATGCCACCCATCCAGTAGCAAATCTGGTACAATTAGGAGGTTACAAAAGTACAAAATGAGCGTTCTCTAGAAGAACATCTCGCTACTTACCATCGTTATACTGGCTCAAGGTCTGTTGTCTAGAAACCAACCGAAGCCTTGAGAAACGCGGAAGAATTGGAATTCTATCGGGATTCAGATCGTTCGTTCTATAATCTACTTTATTTACCTCCCCCGTCGCTCCTACTGAGGACATTCAGGAACGGGCAAAGTTTTCTATAAGAGTATTTGTGCGATTCTGGAGCTTCACCGATGCCTTCCTAATTCCCGACGTTCCACTATTAATTCCTACGGCAGCGTCGGAAGATTTTCCACCGACGAAGGTATTATTAAATTCGGTGGAAACTTTCTGAAAATTCATTTTCGCTGTGAATGCAGCTTATAATTCGACTTTAATTTCGATTCGACCGCTCCATGAAGGAAAATATTCATCACTGAGAACGCGCGGGGATGATGATGCTTTTCATAGGCCGCTTGAATTAATAAGTTCGTACGAGGTACCTTCACTAAAGTTTGCAGAATTTTTGGTATTTAAAGACCTACCTGCAGCAGGTTAAAGAGAGATGACAGAACAGCGTTGCCACTTTTACAGTTATCTGGTAACTCAGAAATGCGTCCGTCTGCAGTTAGAGCTAGTCAAATTGATGACTGGCACACCCACACCTAGTACAATAGCAGGAGTTGAAACATTGAATGAAATTATTCTTTCATCAAACTGCTCTCGTAAGAAGTTCCTGACTTGAATGGTGTTAAAAGCCGGACATCCATCCTGTTGAAACCAGGTTGTTCTTAACTCATCTTCGGTTAGACTAGCTCGTAAAGCCGGCACAATCTGGTTCCGTAAGAGCTCTAGGCACTGCTGGCCGTTTAGGTTGTAGTCAAACAAAAATAAGTGCCCAATTAAGAAAGCTAAGTTAGAGTAAATTACCAATGACCCCACACCAAATGTTAGTTACAAATCTAGTCTGTAGACGACTCTCTACCACTTCATGATGGTTTTCCACAGCCCAATGATGAGTGTTGTGTTTATTAAAAACTGCACAATTCGTAAGCCATCGGACCACAAGACATGATTTACAAAATCGGGATTTTTATTAGACTTCCTACTATACCACTCACAGAAGCGCATTCGCCTTGAAAAATCAGTTTCCTCAAGTCCTAGAACTATTGTAGGTTCATATGGATGAAAGAAAATGCGTTACTTATTAATTTTATTTGCTGACAAATAAATCCTTAGAAAAAGATTAATACATAACATTACGTGTTATGATATTTTGATGATACTCCATTCTTTCATGCACTTGTGACATCACTAGGCTAGAAATTTTACGCTGTTTTCAAAAATCGAAAGAAAAATGAAAGTTGTGGCAGGTTGCGAGGAAACAAAATATGATCGAGACGTGTCATACACGCTATTATCACATTTGCCTAAAAAAAATTTCCGAATAATGTCACATTTTGACAGCTGTTAACTGTTTCTGATTTACTGACAAAAAACAAAATTCTATATTTCCGTTTTTTCGCTGATATTTCCAAAACTAATCGACTGGTTGTAAATGTGGAGAATCTAGAGCCAGCTACCGATTGCACCAAGTTTCCTCTAAAGCTTTCCCCATTTAACCTTTGCTGTAGGTATAACAGGAGCCTAGATCCCTGTATAGAGGAGCGAATCTGGGACACACTGTAAATGCACGGTACCGTCATTTAGGGGGAAATTGATCAAAATATTCAAATTTTTCGCATTATTTTTTTTTATGTCAAAATTTTATTCATATCCGATCGAATCTGATCCATATTATGCGTAAGAATGGCCCAGCTGGTGCAAAGAACCCCAGTGTTTGAAACTATAACCCTAACGGAACTAAAAACGGCTGATCAATTTCATACTGGGGCGAGATTGTTTACATAGTATTCATTGCATGTAAAATGAGGGTACAGGCTCCTAAATGAACAATCTCAACTCTGGTTATTATATTTCAACTGGTTACACAGCTACAGCATTTTAATGTAGGTGGGGTGAGTTTGTTCACTATGGGTGAGATTGATAAACTGTATTTTATTGTACGTGTTCCAGTAAATAATGGCCAAAAACACCTATTTGATTGATAAACAACCTTTATTTTTCCATATCTATAACTAATACATATAACCTAAATAAGTCTCCTAACAGTTGAGGTAGAATACAAAAAGGAAAAACTACATTTCGAATGTATCCATCATATTTTCAAAACGATAGGTGATAAGCCCGTCTGAATTTTCCACGACAGGATCCAATAACACAGCATATGACTCTGGACTTTAAATTTATTCTTAGATCCATCTACAGACTTTACTCCCAAAACCTCGAATTCTCAAACATCTTGACTCTTGGTCACATTTTGCACAATGGCAACGTATCGATAAACTGTTTTTTTTTCTAGGTCCACCACGTACTTCAACTAGAAGAAATTTGCCAGGAAGTATATCTCTTTCTGTCGGTTCAAAGTATTCAGTTTCCGGTTCGGTGATGGTTTCTAATGAGTTTTCACTAGAGCTATCATTAGTTTGAGGATCGTCGTTCGTTTCTGAGTCACTGGATCCTTCATTTGGAACAACACTTTTTCCAGGCTCTACCGAAAGCTTTCGACGCCTCATATTTCTTCTTGATGGTCCTACCGTGCTGTTGCAGATATTCCACAAGAACGTTGCCCAGCGAACTTTCAGTATTCGTATAGTGGTTTGGCTTGGAATTTTTCGCAGAACTCGTTCAGCATCCAGAGGAGCTATACCAGTTGCACGAAATGAGCTTATTAAGTCTTTCTTTATAGCATTCTCATATTTTTAGTTTATTTCCACAGGGGTAGAAGCTAATACACTGAGAAAATCCTTTTTATCTAGAGTAGACTGATGAGGATGAGCTTTCTTCCACTTTGTTAGGGAAGACCTCCAAGCTATCTTGAAAGGGGGAAAACATCCGGCATCTAATGGCTGAGTTGGATTGGTCGAACATTTTGGGAGGCAAACGAAAGCAACATCGTTTTCTCTACACTGTCTTAAAACGCTTTCTGTAAAATGTGAAGACAGGTTGTCTCCAATTAACACTTTCCGACTAGGAAGAGATTTTGCATGAGAAAGAAAAGCTTATTCAAATCAATCTGTATATATAGTTACTCCATGCCCCAATACCGACACCGAAATTGATCAATCTCGCCCCGTCTATGCGAACTATCTCACCCCACTCATTAAATATCTCAATATTATGAAAAGCACTGCACTGTTCATTCCCACTCGACTACACCATAACCTCAAAATATCAACAAACATGCCTATTATGACGCAAACAAAAATACAAATCAGCACTTTAACTTACCTGGAAAATTTCCAGATAGTTACTCCATGCCCCAAAACTGACACCTTCAAAAACACTGATTTTTCACATTAAATAAGCGGCACCGCCAGCTTGCACGCATACCGCATCTGCGGCCATGTTTCCTCTGACGCACGCACTATCTTTCACTGTGATTGGTTCTCTAGTTCTGGCACTAAATTCAAACTTATGAGAAAATGATCTGGTGATCAAACTGGCTCCTTGAGATCAATGTCACCCCAATCGACGGTACAACGTAAATTATTGGTACTATGTAGCACCGGTACAGCATCAGTTGCTATAGCACTTTCCGGTGGCTTTTCGCGTCCTTGAAGTCGTTTGGCGATTTCAGGGCGATGAACGAGGGTGAAGTGTCTAGTACATCCAAAACAACGGATAACCTTGTGCTACCTTGTACTCCGACAGTCCTGGGCTGTGCTGGTTGTACGCTGTTATTGGATCACACTGTACGTATATATTAGCGATGATAAAAAATTACTTGTCATATGGAAGACAGATATTGGACTTTTCATATTGATCAGTGAAGTAGTCTTACATATGTTGTTTCATTTGACGAGAGAAATGTTTGAGATGCTAGAAGATATAGAGTCGGTATCACTGTATAAAAGTTCGTGGAAAAAGTCTTCATAGAAATTGATGTGTGTCATTCAATCTCAAGTACGAACAAAATATTGGCCTGAAAAACTTTGGAGTCAATATTTCCCGATCCTTTTATACGGATAGAGGGAAGGAGATACGCTACACCCCATTTCATCAAACAACATGTCACATGATATCATTACGGCTTTACCGCTCTAACTTTTCAGCAAAGTTAGCGATGCTGTGAAAAAGGCCAGTCACGTGGCTGCCACATAGTAATTAATCATTTTTTGAACGCGTTTAAGGCTTCAACGTATCGTCCGTCCTGTAAATTACCGAAAGTCAGATGCTGGGTGCTTTTGTTTCGTGTATGTGCAGACCCCTTTGGAGTGAGAGCGTGTGTTACCACTAAGATTCTAAATTGGGTTTTTTGTAAATTACAAAGTTGTTGATTAATAGCCATGCTGTTGTTTTTGCGAGTACTTTATTTTGGCTGTGCTTTATTTTAGGATAAAGATCTGTGGATCTTGCAGGTACTCAAGAGCTGATGATTGATTGTGAGTTGGCTAATACATCAGCTGACAATACTAGTACCCTAGCGCTCTTGCGTTGGTCCTGAGCCGATGTTATTAACCTTAAGATGCCAGGTTGAATAAATGAATAGACAGAATGGAAATTACAGGCATTTTGGCAAACAAGGGGTGCTAGGGCATTGGCCCCATGCTGGGTTCTTTTGCACCTCTATCTTCTATCCATCAAATCCCTTCCTGGCGAAGTTAAGTATAATCTTGAGCACCAACTCCTTGACATTCTGAGGATCCATAATTTTGGACTCCAGCCTAGGGTATCCCAGAGCAGCGACACAGAACATATGCGCCAAGGACTCCTCCTTCACAGCCTGTACACATAGAATTCTCAGCCACCCTCATCACATGGAGATAACGGATCAACGCATCATGGCTAAACAACAGACCTATCAAGAAACTCAGATTGTCTCTATCCAAAGATGAGCAAAACGGTCCGTTCTTAGTACTCGATCCTAAAATGCTACTTCTGATGATATACGAGTGCGGTCCGATAAGCGCTTAGCCTACAAAAGAAAAACAAAAGTGTTGGAAAAGTGGCGATTAACTCCTCAACGTAGTCTCCTTTTAGCTCGATACAGTTGACCTAGCGATGGTCCAACGTAATTAACCCGTCTGAAAAATAAGTTTTCTGGAGGTCTGCAAAGTAGACCTCCGTGGCGGCAATAACCGACCAAAATTTCTGCCTGGCGAGTGACTTTTTCAAGTTTGGAAACAAAAAGAAGTCGCACCGGGATAAATCTGGAGTTTACGATGGATGGAGCCTAATTCGACTAATTTGGCCATGGCGATGGAGGAGGTGTGAGCTGGTGCGTTGTCATGGTGGAAGAATACATTTTTCTTCGCCAAATGGGACCGTCCTTTCCTGCAATTCGGTGCCAAATCGGCTCAATAATTCGGCATAGTAGAGCCCTATGATTATATTACTCTTCTCCAAGTAGTCGAAGTCGATCACGTCTTGTGAATCTTAAAAAACGGTGGTCGATAGGACAGTCTTCACGTTTTTCGGAGCACGTTCGCCGGATGAAGTCCACTGTTTTGACTGTTCCTTTGTCTCTAGTATTTTGAGATGCCTCCTGCCTCAGCTATCTCATGCACCTTTAATCGGCAGGCTGCCAACAACAGATCGTGGATTTTTATCACGTTATCCTCCATGGTAGCTGTTTTCAGGGCACCAAAAAAAACCGACGTGTGATGACGTTGAAACTCGTTAAACCAATTTTTGGCGATCGTCATCAAGCGAGAAGAGTCACCGTACACAGCATCCTAGCGCTCTTTGATTTCGCTGCGCGATTCTCTTTCCAAGACCAAGAATCCGACCGATCGATATTGTTCACACCCGGTCAAAACAAAACTACGAGCCCGATTCGGCTGAAATTTTGACAGTAGCCGACTACGAGAATGTTCTATACTGCAATAAATTACTCTTGCGATAGTGGTGCCATCAGAAGGTGAGGCTAAGTACTTATCGAACCGCCCTCGTCATGATACTTCTCCATCTCAGGGGGTGTTGACTAGATACCCAGTCCTCCATTATCCTAGCCCTTTGCGCGGGCGCACCTAGGGCTGCCTTAGGATCAAGCTCTCGCAAGTGCTTCCGCCCATACCAACGATACCAGTAGCCTCACTGATAAACTATCCAGATCTTCCCTTAATCGTAACACAACGCTCAAAGTAACCTTGCAGGTACTTAGTTACTTCTTTGCAGCCTAGCTGGCGGAGCAGTTCTTATTTTTCTCCTACCAAAATATGTGACGCACAAGACGGAATCGTATAAATTTCACCCGAAAAGTTGGAGACTAGCAGCCTAGTTCTAGTTCAAGTTCCCACCGTCCGAGCCTTCTTCAGTATCTGAGCAATCCTTGTAGCAGACTTGCTCACTTTTCTCGGAGACCTGCCGAGCCTTGGAATGCCACTTCACTCGCATCGGACGCCCGGTTAACAATGCCTTGCCCAGTTGACATACACGGAATTCCAGGAAGAATGGTTAAGTAAAAATGACTGTAGGCAGACCAAGAAGCTTAAAACAGAGATTAATAGTAATAAACAACTTTTATTTCAGGCAGAATTCAGCTACAAGCTATTCCACCACTTAACCCTTGAAAATAACTAGCACTAGAATATTGAAGACAATTTTAAGAATATATTCTTCCAAAATTTAAACAAACATTACACATTGAATACAACGTACACATGAGTGTACAAAAAAACTATAAACGATATATATATAATATGCATACATATGGCTGAACTATAAACGAACTTTTTTGCTTAGAATAATCCAAGGAATCACCCCTTAAAGTTACGAATATTATTTCCCTAACACCATGTATACTGGGATTTTCAGATTTTAGCATCAAAAATAATTTGTTAAGGGCCAATTTCACCAACATTAATATTTGACGGTCCCTTGGACCAATGGGAAAATAGCTTATCGAAATGCAATTTGACGGAAGCTGTCAAAGATCTCTGAATATCAGTGATTTCTATTGAAATGTTGAATAAAGTCGTGAAAAAATGGTTGCCTTATAAATTAGGGTTCATTATAGATGTAATATTATGTCTTTGTGCTTTAGAATTAGGATAACTTTCATAAAATTTCCAGTTTCAGACATAACGGTCAGTTATGTAAATGGACCAATCAAAATGATAGAAATAATAGGGTCGATTTTCTAGCTATTATATTTGGTAGGATGTTTTCACTGTTTTTGACGACTGTTCATGCATGGCAATCTAGTTTTGTCTGTATGTCACGTACATGGTGTTGTACAAAATACGTACCTGTAGAAATGTACGGATTTTTGCAATTTTGCAAAAAAAAAGGATATAAAACGTATTCCAACTGGTTCATCATCTTTTGTTACATCAAAAACAATTTTTGCCAATTTATGATCTAGGAATCCACACCAAATGTAAACAAACAGCACATTCTGCATTTCAGGGTCCTAAAACGTCGATATTTGTAAAAGTATCCGCATCCACCTATTATTCATCGTCTAGTTATTATGTCAGAATCAAAAATACCTATTTATGGAAACATATCTCCAAACATTGTTTTATTTTCTTGTTTTTATTAGTATACCACATCTGGGACACAAAACATA